CAACACTCCTCTAACAACAACTAACTTTTAACATTTTCGACAGATTGTTCTTCATCTTCTGTATTTCCGTGTGGCTATGGAAAGCCTCTCATTATTTTGAAAGCATTTCGCAAATGTTGGCAGTGGTTGTGGTTCCATTTCATTCTCATCAGTATCACTTTGCACTTTTTCAGCTTCTGCAACCATTTTTCAAGCTGACAACTCCACAAATGTCATCATTTTTATGAAATGAATTCATAAACATCAAGCGTGATTATTGAGGTGTTTTCCCAAACTGTAACAAATCCTTATCTTCTTCTCCATCGGTATCATCAGAAATTACTTCTTTTTTTTTTCTTTTTGATATTTTTTTTAGTGTTGTAAAATTTCTGAAAAACAGATGTGGGAATCTGCCTGTTTCATAACAAAAACTAATATTATTAACATTATAAGAATAGCATTTGGGATAAAACTGTTCAAACAAGACGATACATGGGGGGACTTTGGATTGAGGTTCTACTGTCTCATATTTTATTTTTAAGAGTTTTCAATGTGATTGACAAAACTCTTAGACAGGTAATTATAATATTACAAAATTATTATTAAAATGATTAATTTTTGAAATCAAAAACATCAATGTCATGTTTATTATTTCTTAAAATAATATGCTAAATATATTAAAATTCCAAACATCATTAAAGCTTGCGCTATACTTTTTTTAACTTTGTACGTAACTATTGAGTTTGTAGCAATTAGTCTAAAGTACTGCAATGGTGTATTTTGCTCATCATCCGAATTATTAAATTACTGCAAAAAAAATCTGAAAATAAACACCTGTTTTAATGAATTCCATACAATTTGATGTATTTAGTCATCTAGGCTCTTTGTTTATAATGTCTTTTTTTTTTACATTCTGAGTTTTTTTCTTAATTTTAATTCTCATTTTGTAGAATGCATAGCCTTGGATAGAATATATAAAGTAGTATAAGAAAGCGAAAGTAGATAACATCAAATAACAAACTAAAACAAATGAAAAAATAATCTTTTGTTTAACATGCCATGCATATCACAGCATGAATTTTTGTTAATAATCAGCTGCTTTAATAAGGATTTTATTTTATTATTGCATTATCTAAGTTTTTTATTGTATTTATTTATTTTTGCATACCATGAATCTTCCACGAAATTTGATTCTTTTTTTCCTGCAACAAATTTCAAACCCTAGCCTGCACATAGCATTTTAATACATTTTATTTAGAAAATAAAATTAGTTAATTATTATTTAGAGCATCTAAAGACAAGAATGCAAAAAGACAATTGGTTCAATGAATGTTTGCTTTAACAACGTTTTGGTGTTAATAATTGTTGGGTTTTTTTGCAAAAATCTTTATTTAACAAATCGAAAAGTAGTGCCATTAATCTCTGTAATAAAAAAGCTAGGTTATTTTTTTGTAAATAAGTTTATAATTCTAATGAAGTGTTGCTCTTTTCAGCCTCTTCAATTAATGACTACAGTTGCCACTCCAGTATTTGATAAACGAAATGTAAGTATACTGGCCTAACGTTGCAAACTGTGAAACTTGCAGCATATTTCCCTTCTTTATTCTTTGTAAGAGTTCTTTTATTATTTATTTATTTTTCTGTGAGTTGAAATAAACTTTCTCTTAGATCAAGTCTGCTAGTTTATTGGGAGTGGCTGGTACTGATATTCCTATCAGGGAAATTACTAAATTAACAAGAGCTGATAAGGTATCTTTCATATTCACTTTATATACATTAGTATAATTATTTGTGTCAAAAAAAATCAAATCAGCTTTAAACTTGATTTTCTTTTTACAGTATAGTAAATTAAATATAAATAATTTTTTAACATTGTTTAAATCAGTATGTTTTTAAAGTATGTACTGATTTTTAATAATTCATTTTTTCCTATTTTTTTTTTTACCAAATGTTTTCAAGTTTAGCTATTGAACCTGAAAAACACTATTGCTTTGAATTGTTGCCCTTATATAGTTTCATTTATTGCGTTTTTATTTTATTTATGCTTTTTTTTTAATTCAACATTTTTCAGCCAAGAAGCTATTTTTTCACATAGAAACAGTTTTTCGTATCAAAATTACAATGAATTACTAAGAATCAAAATTTATTAAAAGTGCATAGGGTTCTCATTTTCTGATAAAACTTGATTCAAGTTTTAAAGGCTAGCATTAGTTTTGCATGAAAAAAAAGGTTTTGAAGGAAAAAAAAAGGTCAATATCACCATGATACTAATTGCAACTTATTCTGAACTCTGCATTTTTTTTATTCAGAATGTCTTTTATATCGATCACTCAGTGCGATAATATTTAATGCGCTGAAGCAAATTTTGACCAATCGCAGAATTGGTTCTATTCATATAACTTTTTTCTATTTATTTTTTAATTTTGATAATCATGGCAGTAAGATTGCATTTTTCTTCTTATGTGGAATTTTTAGTACTTGATATTAAGTGAGGTTTTTTTTTTCTTAGAAGATTAAGGAAAATATTAGCGTATGGAAAACGTCTGTTATTAATAATTGCTGTTTTTTTTATTATTTTTGACAATCAAATCTTCTTAATCATATTTTTTTAAGAGAATTTATTTTAGAGCAATAAAATATTCACTATGTGTTTAAGAAATTTTTATGCATTAATGGAAGAATATACTTTATCAAGTTATTCACTTCTGCAATATTTACTATTTGCTTTGCAAGTTCTGTCCTGTACACCACTTCACTGTTTATTTTCTGATTTCACAATTCAGAACAAACTACAAGTCATTATGTGACTTTCTTTTTCTATTTCTAACTGTCATAGGGTCAATAAAGTTACCTTACAGTTTTTACAATGTATACTATTCAAAACTGTACATTTGAAAAGAAGTTGAAACTATCTTAGAAATCCAATTATCAGCAAAATTAAATTTTTTGAGTGAATCTTCTACAAAAAAATTTGTAATCTACTTTGTATGCTTGAAATTATTTTTGTGGTAGATAATGTTGAGTGTGTGACTCATTCTACTTCTACTACATGTTTGAAATTTGATGTCTTTAACTATTCTGTAAATTTAAGAAAAAAAAATATCTGTATTTTCCTGTTTGACTTTTAATAAAGTTTCAAATTTTAAAAACATAATAATTTGCTTGCCATAAAAACACACACACATCCCCTTATTAACTAAAACAGTTTTACTAATATCTTAAGATTTCTATTTAAATTTATCTTAATTTTACTATCGCAAAGTAACATGTGCAATTATTTTTATTACATTTATTTAAGAAATTGTAGGGGCAAGAACTAAGTTTCAAACCTATGTTGAACATTTTTACGTTGCTTTTTTTAGACACTTGTTATTTATAATTTCATATGGCGGTTGCAGTGTGTGTCGTATTTCATGTATTATTAAAAGTTTGTATTATGTGCATAAAAATATTCTTTTTTCTTTTTTTTTTTAGATTGGAGTCAATGCTTATTCATTTGCAATTACAAATAATGAGCATGTACTTTTTCATCCAGAGCTTAGACCATTGGTAACTTTTTTTCAATGCTACTTAATATCACTTGTTTATTAAAATGTTTTGAACTAATATCAGCACTTATTTCTTAAATTAAATTCATTTCCTATAACTTTTTCTAAATTTTAATGTAATTTCTTTTGTTTCATTGAATAATTTCTTTTATTACTTTAAAAGAAAATGTTGCTCAGAATTTTTCATTCATCTCTTAAACAACTCGAATCATTTCTCAATCATCAATTTATTGATTTCAAATTTTGTAAATATAGCACTTTTCAACATCCTTCAAATTACTATTCTCTCCTTTCTTTGTTCTTTATTATTTTATGCATTAAGCAAACTGTGTATTTCCTCCTCATATTAGGCACTGTAATAATTATTATATTATAGGCACTAATCTAAATAGGAATGAGAGTTAAAATTTTTGAAGGAGAAAAAAACTTTTGTCTCTTATAGATTAGCTTTATATTTCCTATTTATTGTTTTAATGATTTATTGTCTGACCAATTTTTACTTTTTTTGAGATTTGACAATATAGATTCGAACTTGCATATATGTTATCTATATTAATTCCTTTAGTAGTCTCTTTTTTTTTTTTTTAATTATTCCGGAATTAGATATGCTCATAATTTTCTACTAATTTATAGGTCAGAGTATTTGCATACCTAATTGGTAAGGAAGTTACTGAATCACATGAAGTAAATTGGATGGCCTGTGCAAATAAAGGTTTGTCTTCTTTTTTTTTATACATTTTTTTTTTGAACTATGTTAGTACTTGGTTTTATCCAACCTAGTCAAATAAAATCAGGTTTACATTGAAATAATACTTGATTATAGTATTAAATTTACACAATCACCTTGTACACTGCTAAGCAAAAAACTTGAAAAATGAGGAACATAAATAATTATGAATTTCATATGTTTGTAACTTTTATTAAATTATGTGTAACTGACCTAACAGAAATCATAAATAAAACTTTAATCCTACTTCTCTGCATTGGTACAAGCTTCATGTGTCCATTATTTACATTTGGGACTCTGTATCTAACCTTCCTATGATTTTAACTTGGTCTAGCATGTAACTTATAGCCTTTTGTACTACTTGATTTTGTCCAACTGACTAAATCTCAGTTTTATTCTACAGTGCCATTTAACAGAAAAGGAGAGTTATATTATTTTAAACTTGATGCGAAATCTGCTTAAATAATTGCTAAAAAAAGGCATTATCAGATGATTTTACTGAAAATAAATCTTTAAAGAACAAAAAGCTACAGAGTAATATTGATGATGTAAAAATTGAAACTTTTATGATAAATATTTCGAATAATTACTATTGACAGAAAAATAGTCTGCACTCTCTTTCATTCATCTCTGAATAAAATGATGAATACCTACTTCTAGTTTCATGTCATATCTGATAAATGTCAGCAGTAATTTAATCAAAACTGACTGCTCCCTATTTTATTCCTCTTCCCAATTTTGCCCATCTCTCCTATTTACAAAAAATTAGTGATCACAGAGATATTCATTCTGGTAGAAATAATTATTTTCTGAATTTTGAATAATATAAACATGGCTTTGTGATTATTTAAATTAGATCCAAATTTTCTGAACAAAAATTCATTTTTTTTTTTTTCAGTTTTTCATTTTATTCATTATGTATGTGTATGATTTTTAGTCTTCCATTCTCAAGGGCTTTACTGTTTTCCAGGTTTTTAAACACACATGGCTGCACTTTCTGAGGTTCAGGATATAGTTCAGGTCTGTGTATATTTTTTATGCAAACTTTTTTAGTCTCTAGATTATTTGCTTCAATGGTCATTTTTTACTAAAAAATGTATCACTGGTTGTCCTATATTTGTATTGCATAAAATATTTGTAAAAGGAAATAACCTTGCATTATTGTAATCTATGACAAAAGTTTTCTACCATTGGAATGACAAGGTTTATGTCCCTCAGAAAAAACCTGAAAAACTCAGGGGGTATAAATTTGCTTTTTAAAACCTGCAGGAGATAGAAACTGGTTACAAAAACCAGCAAAAATTGAAAATTCAGGAAAGTTTGTAAACAACTTTTTCAATAAAAAGTAACAATTTTGTATTAAACCTCCTTTTCACAAAATTTGTAATTTTATAACACAAATTCTTCACTTCTATTGACATAACAATTTTAGGTTAGAAAATATCTTTTGTTTTAATTTAATAAAAAAATATTAACTGTATTATTTAAAATAGATTTTTAAAGATGCAAAATTACTTTATGAAGGAATTTGATTTATTTTTTGAATTAAAAATAAAAGTTTTTAATTTTTTGTGATTAGGAGCTTCTTTGGAGGTGATTAGGGCTGCTTATTCAAATATTATGAAACCATTTTTTAGACTAACCCTCCCCCTTGTCAAATAACAGTTTATTGTTTAAGGATTACTTATGAAAAATCTGGTTTTACATGCATGAGAAAAATATGTGAGAAAATAAGTATTTTTAGTATTTGTGCAATATAGTACATGAATCATGCTTAAAAAAAGTACCTATTTGGGTTTGATTAATTGGAACTCACTAAAAACATAAAATTTTCTCATATGCACCAATTCATAGTCCTAGATTCTAAACCGGAATAAAATTTGAAACAAATGTGCGTGAGATGAGGTGAATATTTTTGATAAGAATTTAATGGTTAATATTTCTTAAAATTAAGACTGTAATGTAATCTCTTTTTTTATTATATTCTACAATTTTGTTAAAAATCATGTAATGATTTTTGAAAGAGTCATGAAAGCTCTTTTGTCACTCGTATCTTTTTCTGTTATCAACATTTGAAATGTATAAATCTTTTTAAAAATATTTTACCAAAATTTTGGGACAAATTTTGTCGGGTATCAATTTAATGAATTTCTATTCTTACTGTTTCAGAAATATGTGCCAGTTATGAGCAGGCCTGTTGTTTTTTCTGGTACATGACTATTTGTATGGACATCTGTCTATGCAGATGTGCCGGTGAGTTGTTAATTTAATCCTTTTTAGTATTTATTACGTACATGTCTGTTTCTACAACGCAGATGTTTTTATCAATATATTTAATATGTTGAATAAATGTTTCTTAATGTCTCATATTTTGCGAACATCCAATATATGAATAATAAATGTCCTCTATATATTGTAATACAAATATAATTTAAGAAGTTTTACTTCACTATCTTTTATTATTATTATTATTAAATTAATAATTTTTTATTTAAAGTTCATAAGTTAAATATTTCCACAAGCGTTTGACATATTTTTACATTTTTCTGCTATATAAATTTATTAAAATAATAGTATTTGAGCATGTATCGGAGCATCGTTTTTAAGTAATAAGCTAATAAACTCAGCTATATCATTTTAGCCGCAATTTTTATACCACTTCAGCTATACTACTTTAAAACTTGCATGTGTTTTGGATTTCTTTTAAAGCTTTAAGGATCTTAAAAATCATTTTTAAACCTAAATTATTTTATGCATAATGCTTCATGATTAATAATTTTACACTATGCACTAATCTATTTTTACATTGTTAATTTTGATGAGATTTTATTTGAGTTCTTATTATTATTTTTCTCATCAGTTTAAGAAAAAATTTTTAACAGTGTGCATTTGTTATATTTCTCTACATGCTGCATTCTGGAATTTTACATTATCTCATGAAACATTCTGCGTGTGCTATTTATGTATTAGATTCCTCGTAGTAGGTTCAAGAAAAAACAGGTGTGTACCCTATTATGTTCTAATTGTAATTTATACTATTTTTACCCTTAATTTATTCTATTTACCTGTTCGTTACGTAATTTACATAATTACGTAATTTATTCTATACTATTCTATTTATTCTTATTTACCTGTAATTTATTCTATTTTTACCCTTAAAACCTTTTTAAAAATTTTGTTCCATTATTTGGCTTGTATTTTTCCTGAATTTTTAAATGAAATACATCTCTAATATGATTCTGTCTTTAAAAAATGAAGTTATGATTTATTTATATGTATGTTACTGGAAATATATAAAGCATCTACATAATGTAGGATGCCTAGTGTTTTGAGGCAAAGTATGAAACATGAAAATTATTATTACAGGGAAACCTTGGTTAAGCAGACACTCTTGAGACTTAAAAAATCTTCTGTTAATGAGAGTTGCCCATTTACAGGAAAGGTACACTAGCAGCGAAGGCTAAGGCCATTAATTGTTTGGAATAATTGATGGCATTAATTGGATTTGAGATAAAATAATTAAATTATCTATAATAACTATTCACATTGATATTTATTTAAACTTAACATAATTATAACAACAACAAAAAAATAGCATTTAATATATACCTTTGTTTTATATTTATCTAATTGAAAATAAAGATGTGAAGTTTTTTTAAGCTGCTGCATATCACTATTTCTTCGTGATACAGTTTTAAATCATTTAGCATTTTTATATCGATTTCATCAGTTTTGGATAGATAAAAATAGATATATACCCTCTAACACCTCTCCACCACTTGATAGAAAGCATTGCAATACCTCTTTAGAGGTAAACCATTCTATATCTCTTTGAAGATAAAACGTTCTATAGAATACTGGTACATGCCAGAGAATGCCTGAATATTATGTAAAATAATGTTTCATTCTTTGTGGGGCAATTCTAGGTATGATGTAAAATACCGAATTTCATACATTGCTAGTAGCCTGTACAGTAGAACCTCGATTGGTCGTTTCCCGTAGAACAATTCATTACAATGTATAGATATGGGAAAGTGGCGAATGCAGGTCAACAAAAATATTAAATAATGACCTGAAAACACATAAAAAGTTGTAAGGAAATAATAGACTGGAAAATCAATAAATTTAAAATAAGTATTAAAATTTTTATTGAAATTTACTTGCTGCAAAAATATTTAAGATGCAAAGGAAAGAGGAATAACTGATTTATATATTTATTTAAAATATTTGGAACTATTTGATTGAAAACAACACTCCTCTAACAACAACTAACTTTTGACATTTTCGACAGATTGTTCTTCGTCTTCTGTATTTCCGTGTGGCTATGGAAAGTCTCTCATTATTTTGAAAGCATTTCGCAAATGTTGGCAGCGGTTGTGGTTCCATTTCATTCTCATCAGTATCACTTTGCACTTTTTCAGCTTCTGCAACCATTTTTCAAGCTGACAACTCCACAAATGTCACCATTTTTATGAAATGAATTCATAAACATCAAGCGTGATTATTGAGGCGTTTTTTCCAAACTGTAACAAATCCTTATCTTCTCCATCGGTATCATCAGAAATTACTTCTTTTTCTTATTGATATTTTTTTAGTGTTGTAAAATTTCTGAAAAACAGATGTGGCAATCTGCCTGTTTCATAACAAAAACTGATATTATTAACATTATAAGAATAGCATTTGGGATAAAACTGTTCAAACAAGACGATACATGAGGGAACATTGGATTGAGGTTCTACTGTGTCATATTTTGTTTTTAAGAGTTTTCAATGTGATTGACAAAGCTCTTAGACAGGAAATTATAATATTA